GTAACTCACTCATCTTCTACGACAGTATTGTTAACTGCTGTAGTAATTATCCTGTTTGACTTCAGGGTATCCCGTACATATATACATACTGCTCTTCCTCGCCCTGCATCACATCTGTAAACTTTAAAATTTGGAATATTGATGAAATTACTAACCATTTCCTGGTGGAGCCATGTTTCACTTATGCATAAGGGAGAGAGAGAGGAGAGGAGGGAGAGAGAGGGAGAGAGGGAAGGGGGGGGAGGAGAGAGAGAGAGTGTGTGTGTGTGTGTACGGTGTGTTAAGATTCGATCGGAAGGATTGAGGGGAGAGAGAGAAGGAAGGAAGAGGAAAGAGAGTGAGTTAAGAGGAAGAGATGGAAGGGAAGAAAGAAGAGGAAAGAGAGGGAGTTCAGTGGAAGAGGAGGAAGGGAAGGGAAAGGTAGAAGAAAGGAAGGGGAAGGAGAGAAGGAAGAAAATTTGGGGGATAGAGGTAAGGCAAGGAGGAAGAAGAGGGGGGAGGGAAGGAGGATAGAGGATGTTGAGGGAAGGGAGGAAAATTAGGGGTGAGGAAGAAGGGGAAACGAATAGGAAGAGGGTGAAGTTAAGGGGAGATTAAGAGGAAGAACGAGGAAGACGGTGAGTCAAGTAGGAGGAAGAAGAAATTGGAGAGGAGGAGGAGGTAGAGGTAGAGAGGGAATGGAAAGGTGGATAAAGAACGATAAAGGGAGGAGGACAGAGAAAGAAACGGGAGACTGGAACAGGAGGAAGTGGAATTAGGAAGAGGAAGAGGGGGGAAAGGAAGGACAAAGAGGGTGAGGAGGGAGAAAGGGAAGGGAAGGAGGAATGAAGGAAGGGAAAGCTAAGCGAAGAGAGGGAAATAAGGCGAGAGATGGAGGGATGAAGGAAGAGAGAGGGGGAGAGAAAATGATGAGGAAAGACAGAGAGCAAGGGGAGAGAGATAGACCAAAGTGAGAGAGAGAGAAAGAAAAACAGAACATTTCTCCCTCAAACATCTAAAACCTTTTGGACGAAAGCAAACATCTTTTCTTCTTCTTGTTCTTCTTTCGGTCGTCCACGAGAAAAAGCGAGAAATTTTTGAGCACACATTCTTTAACTCGATTTGCTCCCGGTCCTGCAAAGGTGAGCGAGTGCCAGCCAGTGCCAATCGAAGGGCACTTGGTCTGCCTTGACTTCGCAACACGTTCTCGACATGTTTTATCAGCTGTTCTTGTCGAAAGTAAAGGGGTGGGGGTGGAGGTGATCCAGTTTTCCCTTCTCTATTTATCTCTCTCTCTCTCTACCTACCCATCTATCTATCTCACCTTTATGGGTTGCTGTTCTCGATTTTGTTCTTGTTAATAGATACTTTGTTCACGTAACAATCGTGGATTCATAATGTTATCAGCCATAAATCAAGAATGCGTAATAAATTAACTGATAAAAACTAATTAAAATGGGATCTCTTAATGTAATCAGTGGGGTAATGAATAGACACAATTATGATGATGAATATTATGAATCGATTTTTTTTTTTTTTTTTTTTTTTTTTAGCTTTTCATAGAATACGTCTTTCCTAATTCTTTCTTTTTTCTTTTTTCTTTCTTTACTGATTGCCTCGTCAGTTAGTGCTCCTTTAGGGAGATGACTGAATAGAAAACTGACAAGAAATATTAAAGCAAAATACACAACGCATTCTGTTTTTGGTTTTCTGTTTTTTCGGTGGGGGGAGCAGGGTATTCATGAGCATAAAAATAACAAAATATGCATACATATATTCATATGTACACACACACACACACACACACACACAGTCACACACACGCACATGTACATATATATATATATATATATATATATTATATATATATATATAATATATATATATATATAATATATATATATATATATTGGGATATGTTGCCAAGTCAGCGGATATTAATGCTTTATTTACTTTACCGTTAAATCTTATGGTAGCATAACCTAACGGTCTTTAGGGCTCGTGGGAGTGAGAATGAATTCATTCCAATGCTGAGTGTGCCTCTTATTATAACGGTCATAAAAACATCTTTAATCCTTAACATTTTATTCAATAAACAAACAATAAACAAATGGCATATCAATCTGTAAATTTTGGCAATAAACATATATAAGGTTATGTCTATATACTCCCTTTTCCTATTAATTAGAGATCAAAATTACATTAATTAACAAAATAAAAATGTATGTGAGACGAAATCGAGACCCTCACTCCCAATCTATCCCATTCTTTCCCTGATTTTCCCCGGGACATAAGCCAAGAACTTCCCTTCCTTTTATCTTTACAATTTCTCTCTCTCACACTTCACTAATAACTAATTTCCTTCTCAATTTATTCACTGATACCGCTAGAACTGTCACCTGCGACTACTTCCGTTACTGTATCCACGCACCATTAAAACAACAAAATAACTAACATTAATCCAGATGGCACAAGCATTATGGCGTACTGTCTTGCTTATTTCTCCTCTCTCCGTTTACATGGGGAAGGCCAGGACTCGTCTGAATATCATAAACTGATATTAAAGGATTTAACAACTACATCAATAAACTTATCAAGCACTGTGGTCTATAATATCAGGGTAAAGCATGACTTAAAATACCAGCACTCAGCTTACCTGTTTACACGGGGAAGGCCAGGACTCTGTCGTTAAAATAATGAGCTTATTGTTTTCCCCCAAATGATTTGTTAACATTTAAACAAACAAACCATTTATAAATGATTATTATAATTTACTCTATTTGTTATAACACTAAATTTTGCTATATTGATATGCCTTTAGATTTATGGAAATATGTAAACAAATCTTTCTGTGACGAATATGTATCTTTGAAATCAGAACCATCTCTTAAAATGTCAAATAAATAATGATCTCGACATGTATATATATACATATATATGTATGTATGTATAAATGTGTGTATATATATATATAATATATTATATATATGCATATATATATACATATATATAATTATATATATATATAATTATATATATATATTTATGTGTGTATGTGTGTGTATATGTATATGTATATATATACATATACATATATATATATACACATTAAATTCATATACATAATTATTTACACTTATCACTACTGCTATTGCTATTATCATTATATCATTGTTATCGCTATATCATTACTACTACTATCATTATTTATCATTATTATCATTACTACTATTAGTATCAATATATATATATATATATATATATATATATATATATATATATATATATATATGTGTATGTGTGTGTGTGTGTGTGTGTGTGTGTGTGTGTGTGTGTGTGTGTGTGTGTATGTGTGTGTGTGTGTGTGTATAAATAATGATAATGACGGTAGTAAACTAATAGTAGTAGTAATTAGTATTGATATAATAATGATAAGTAATAATAAATACAATAACAATGAATAATGATAATAGTAATAGTAAATGATATATCATGGGTATATATACATAGCATTCATAAACCACCCCCTTTCCCCCGCCATTGTCTGATCACGTGACGTAAACAAACATGGCGGACTGCGCGCTCCGACCCGCCCGCCCAAAACTCATCTCCGTTCGTTGCAGTTTCGTCTCGTCTGCAATCTCACTAATTGCGCAGTCCAGAATGTTCTCTGGGTTATAAATCGGGCGGTGGCTGGGCGGCAATCAAGGAGAGTGGGGAGGGGAGGGGAGGGATAGGAAAGGGGGTGGGGGGAAGGGAGGGAAGGGGAAGGAAAGTAGGAGAGAGAGATTGGGGGGGGGGGAAGGAGAGAAAGACACAGAAAAAACAGAAAGAGAGAGACAGAGA